GAGAGGGCAGCGAGCGGCGGAAGCCGCCGGCGGCCATCTTGGGTAGGGGCAGGCGCGCCATCTTGGCCTGGAGGCAGAGGGGCGGCAGGGTGGATGGAGGATGGATGGATGGCGGCTGTCGCCCGGCCGCGGGTCCTGCCGGCGGGAGAGGGGTTGGGTGCCGTGGCTGGGGGCGCTGAGGGAGCCTGGCCGGGCTGGATGCCATCCCCGCCTTGGGAATGGGGAGGAGAGCCTGGCACGGCCTTCCTGCTCTGGGGGCCCACGCCAGTGCTTCGGCTGGGACTGACTCTAGAAGCGTAGAATTAAAAACAAGCCATGTTTTTTCCTCTTAACGAGAGTTGAAACAGAGGAAAGTAGGCCTTACTACTTTGCTCTGAGTTTTGAGGGCGAGTGGAGCTGCGCTCCGACCAGCGCTAGCTACAGAAGCTGCCTCTGAGGCTACTAGTGTCAGATGTACAAAATCTGCAAAGAAACTTGTAGACCAGCCCGTCCCGCCTCTCCAGCAGGTGCTGTCTGCCGCGTCAAGCTCCTAACGTGTGCTGCGTGCTCCAGCAAGCCAGTCTCGAGGAGCTGCTGCAGCCGGGAGGCTGCTCTGCGGGAACCCGGTAGCTCCAGGCAGCCTCGAGCATCCCCCAGGATGGAGAGCGGGAGACCTCTCCGGGAAACCCATCCCGGCCTTTGAGCACCCTCGAGGTAAAGAAGTTCCCCTTCAGTAAAAGTCTCCCTTAGCCTTCTCATTAGTGTGTACATTGGTGACACAGATAAAGCAGTATAATTGATGTAACAAAGTGAAAGTGTTAACATTTTTATTAGGACCTTATTTTAAGAAAACATAATGCTTTCCGTAACTCAGAAAACATCCTTGAGCCTTTTATAGCTGCTAGTTTAAAACAACCTCTCCAAACAGGAGCGAGAGAAAAATCCCTACTCCCGTGGTGATATAATGCCACCTGCCTTTGACCAGCACTGGCTTCAGGAATTTATTATTACAGGACAACTGGAGAATCTCCATTCTCCCAGCTGAAAGTAATTCACATTCTAAATAGGCTGCTGTTACAGACAGGCATCTGTTCTTCTTGGATGACAGGGTACCCCGCTCGCCTGCCAGCAGTCATGTGGCTGGCTGCAATTTGCATCTCTCTATACAGATACATTGATATATCTCAGCATTGCTTTTATAATCAAAAATAGCGTAGTGGCAGTGTTCATCCATGCTTTTATTTTGCACTGTTGAACTGAAATTGCTTACTAATTCAACAGCAATAAAAATTTGGAGTGGCTTTGTCTGTAGGGAACTGGTGGCACGGAATGTATCTGATACCCAGTCCCCGCGTAGGTAACGTGTTATGTACCACCATATAGTAAAGCAAGTTGTGAAATAATTTCACTATTCTTATTACTTCTGGCCAAGAGAAAGTGTTCTCTCTAGTTTAAACTGCAGAAATAATTTTCCCTTTCTGTCCTAACCAGCTGTGATGTGCTGATGTACGCTGCTAAGCAGCTGATAGGAAACAGAAATCCACCACAGACCTGCCCTTAGCATCAGCATCTCTGATCATGTGTGTAACTAAACCCAGTTATTCACACATACAAAAGGCTAACAGTAAAAAGGTTGATTTGGCTGCAAAGAAAATAAAGAAATAAAGCCTATAACACCTTCTTAGCACGTTCCATTGCCAAGGCCCAGAGAACAGATCCAGCTTACGTGGGTCGCTACCTGCAAGACCCCTGCTTGGCTGGAAAACGTACTGGGTAGTAATTCCCTTAAAATCTGCTACTTTAAAAATTGCCCTAGGTTTGTTGTTGACTAGTTTTTGTGGCATTATGGGGATGACACTTCTCTTTTGCAGAGAGAGATTACATGCGGGTTTTTTTCTCAGTTTCCTGACGCTATGTTTTTTTCTAAAGCAAAGGGTGGCGACAACTGAAAAAATCAGGAGGCATAAACGCTCAGAAGCAGGAGGGGGGAAACAATAGATGAGGGAAATGTTTGCACTAGCCACGTTCCGGGATAAGCTAAGCAAAACCAGAAATTAAACCCAGAACTTTGCCCGGTTTTGCAATGTCATCGTTGACAACTCCACAGGCTTTATACACCCCGCAGGTGCTTCTGCATGAATTCCATCCCGAGCAGGCGCCAGAGAACAGCATTTTCCTGCTCAGACCCGGCCCCGTTTCCACGATACTGCCGCCGAGCTGCTCCCGCGGCCCTTCCGTAGCCCCTCTGCAGGAGTCACTCCTCGCAGCTCGCCCCGCCGCAGGTGCCCCCCCTTCCCCTTCCCGCGTCCCCTCACGCAGCCGCCGCGGCGGAACGGGCCCGCTCGGCCGCCCGGTTTCCATGGCGACGC